TCTTTTTCTATTTTTAAAAAATAACTTTGCTTTTTGTACATATTTTCAATCTCGAAATGACAAAAATATAATAGTTTGCAGTATTGAAATTTATAGTGCCATAATTTGTATGGCATAATTTTATCAACAATGGCAATATCACTTCTGGTTTTTCTCATTTTACAATTTCTTCACTTTTTAAAATTTTGATTTTTAGTTCCATCATTTTTATCTTTTTTTTTTGGAGTAAACCACACGAGCTGGGGGCCGGGAGTGCCTGGGAACACCTCCTGGTTTTATTAATGAAAAGTTAAAAGATACAAGATATAAAATAAAGCATTAAATAAAGCAAATGGGAAAGTAAAGAAATTTAGCGGTTGAATTTTTTGTGGGAATTCCAAGAGAAGCTGAGATATTCCTGTTGTATCTATTGTGAAACTTGATCGCCTTCAGAAGATAAGGTTGGTAAGTTGTAGCCTCCGGGTGTGAGGACTTATAGCGCTTGAGAGCTGCAGCCAATTTGTGCGGAGAGTCAAGTCTTGGGTCTACTGGGTATAAAAAGTAATCTGATTCATTTTGAGGCTTTTTAGATTGACTTCTAGTGACCATTGGGTGTGAAATCCATCCCATCTGGTAGTATTATTGTGAGTCATGTTGATCTGCGTTTGGGAGTTTCGTCGGGCCCTTGTTTGTGTTTCTTCTTCTTCTACTTACTTGTGTAAACCCTTCTAAACATTCCACCTCAACCAGGAAATTTTGAGCACTGCCTGAAGCAGTTTGCAAATGAAATTGGTTTTCCTCAGATTTAAGATCATCATCGGAATAGATTGGCGCAATTGTAATTCTATATTGTTGTGGATCAGACAGATTATCATCATTTCCGGTTAAAGCCTCATTTGAATCATTGGCAAAAGGGACAGGAGGCATCTGCTCACTGTGAGAAGCATTCAATTCAGCGGAAACCAACAAAAGAGGATGAGCAACGCCTGCGGTTACCGCCTTATTACAGGTGGCCACCGGAGGCTCATCACAAGTTTCAATAGCATTAGGACCAGGGGCATTATCCAGGTATTTCTCACTAACAGTAATCATTGGGGCCAAATCCTTGTCAAATTCTGAAAAAACACTTTGTAAGAGGGGGAAGATTTCTGTAACCTCAACAACAGGGTGTTGTTTGGGTTACCAGTGCAACCATTAGCAGCCACAGGGGCACCAGCATCAGAAGCAACAACCATAGAGGTAGTAACAGGAGCATTTACATCAGAAAAAACCAAAGGAATGGAAACATAAGAAACAATATCACTGATAATATTATCAACAACAACTTTAGTATTGGTTGGGGCAGCACTGGTTTGGTTACCAGTGTCACTGGAAGCAACCATAGAAGCATTTGCATCCGAAACAACAACCACAGAGGTACAAACATGAGCATTTGCATCAGAAGAAACCACATCACTGATAGTATGATCAACAGAGGCTTTAGCACCGGTTGGGGCAGCATTGGATTGGTTACCAGTGTCATTGACATCAACCACAAGGGCCTTAACACCAGAAACAACATCCACATGGGCACAATCTGAAGGGCCATTAACATCATTAATTGCAACATCAACCTAGGCAGTTATATTTTTATCCATAGCACTGTTAACCTCAGTTAAATGTCGCATCATCGGTTTTGGGTCCTGTGTTTTTTAGGTCCGGGGACACTTTGCGTTGTCATGGTCAAACCGAGAGCAAATTGTGCAGAAAATAAGCAAATTTTCATAATAAACAAACTGAAAACAGCCTAAATCGCCATTACCAATCCAATTTTTTTGGGGCAATTGTGAGTCACTATTAGAAGTCAATAGAGCTGGCGCAGACGGTGGAGCATACCGAGAAGGACACTGAAGCACAGAGTGACCTGCAGAGAAACAAAGCTGACAGACAACATGCGATGGAACAGACCCAATAATGCCCTCACCCGATGAAAAACCTGCAGAGCTAGCGTGAGTATCATAAATAAAATGGGGATTAATATTTAAAGTTGACAAAACAGAATTACTAGCAGAACCTGAAGTGCCCGGGCGAGTAGATTGCACCCCCTGAATAGAAGCCTGTTGCTGTGCGAAGAGCGGCTGTCCGAACCCCTGCTGCTGGCCGAACCCAGAGACTGCCGGATATCCACCATGGGTTGGCTGAGCTCCTGTCGGCTGCTATGCACCAAAGTATGGTGCAGCCTGGTGCTGAAAGCCATATTGCTGTTGTGGATATCTTCTGCCGCGATCACGGCCCTGGCGACCGCATCCCCTGTCGCGGCCTCCCCTGCCGCGAGCGGCATATCCAGCCGGCGGCTGCCCCCCAGCTGCAGCTACCGCAAACGCTTGATGACCAATGGCTGCCTGTTGTCGGCGCTCAGACAGGAGTTGTTGTTCTGCTTCCAGTAAACGCGGTTCCAAAATATGGAAGGGAAATTGCTCGGGAAATAAAGAGACAGTAGTAACAAGAGGCTTATAATCCGGTCCCAAGCCAGCGAGAATAGATTGAAGTAGTTCTTTATCCGAGACAGGAGAACTAATTGCCGCGAGAGCATCAACTAAATTCTTGATTTCCTGTAAATAACTTTCCATTGATTAGGTCTCTTTCTTTTTAAGAGTTGACAATAATTGTTTAAGTTCCATGCATCGGGGTAACTTGCAGACATAAATCTAGTCTGAAGTCTAGCCCAGATAGCAGCTGAATGTTTTAAATCATGAACATCAACTAACACATCTCGGGTTAGAGTAGCAAACAACCAACATCGAATTGTTTGATCTACTCGGAGCCAATAATAATATTCTGTGTTTGGAACTTGACGATTCAGAAAATCAACGTTGTACATATAGGGTACCTGAATTGAGCCATCAACAATTCCAAAGAGACCTTGAGACACCGGGAAAGATTCAAACTGAGTATGTCAGGTGAGGTAGTCCTCGACTGCCTTCAATTTGATGGTGACAATTTGAGAGACAGTAGTGATATGTGAAACGGACTGAGCAAGAGTGGACATCGGGGACCCAAACCCCGGTTGATCAACTGACCGAATTACACCTGGAGAGCCAGAAAAGGTTGACCCGGAAAAGGAAGGGTCTGCTTGCTGGACCGATCCAGTGAGAGGGATGTGAGGTGGAACCGGCGGTGGATTAAAGAGGCTCGCCTGCGGCTGGATTGAAGGTTGCTGCCTCGGGAAGCTCTGTGGCATAGACTGAAACAGAGGAGTGTGATCAGTCACAGAGAATGTTGGTGGTGGGGGAAATTAGTGAATAACGCCAATGATGTTGGCATCATTCCCTGCGAGCCAACGACTCTAGAGATTGCAGCGGCAGAGCGTGGTGTAGAGAACTCTAGCTGATCGGTCATCCGGGTAGGAATTGATGAGGTTGCTGGCGCCATGGAGGAAGAGACTGCAGCGGCAGCCGAGCTCATGGCTGAGGAAGCCATGGCTGCGGCACTTGAGTCGACCGAAGACGAGGAAGAGCTCATAACGGCGGAAACGTGAATTGAGAGAAGAGAGAAAAAAATTTAGGTCTGGGCTCTTGATACCATGTGAAAATAATGGGAAAGGTACTCCAATAGGAGTCCTGACAGGTATATTTATATTAAATAAGAGTTGCCAAAAAACACAAGGATTCCTAATTTATATTAACTATTAGCAATTCTTTGGAGACATCAAGCTCAATGCAGATTCTCGCTGTACTGGGTCTAGACAAGTTAGCAGTAGGAGGGTCAACCTGAAGAGGTCTGCCCAAAAGGCCAACAATGGAGTACAATGCCCTAACATCGTGGAAGTGGATCGGTAGCCCATCAAGGGATACCCAAACTGGAGTCAGGGGGCATTCACGGTCAAGCGAAATAGCCGGTGTCCATCCGGTAACATTCATCGGGTAACCAAAGAAATCCCAATTTCTTTTTAACAAAAATCTTTGAAAATCGGAATCAGAGTGGATGTTGATTAGAATCTTGTTCGATTGAATTAATCCGACAGAATAGAGGTGAGAGAACCCTACTACCTCCGGGGCTTTTCGAATCGCAGATATGGATGACCGATCTTTTGGGAAGGTTCCATCAAGAGCAAATCAGAAGTGTTTGGACAGTACTTGGACTTCATCATAAAAAAAGGAGACCGCCAGTACTCATTTGAATATACCCGACAGCTTGGCTGGGAGATCTTGGAAATCGACATCGGTGAATAAGCAGGTTTGAACGAGGAGGCGTCGGCTGGGGAGAGCTTCCCTTACCGCTCCCGCGTAAGAAATTCGTGTTTGAGCCGTCTCCGGTACAAGGCCCTCCGCCGGCGGCATTAGATTGCCGCACAGGCGTCAGGCGTACGAACGAAGCTTCACAGGTGTGATTGTTCCTCTTTCGGATGCAATCACCTAATTGTTATACATTCATTTGAATTTTGTGCTTTCTCTCTCCATCATTTTTATCTTAAAGTGCCATAAATTATATGTGACACAGCACCCGAACGTCCTTGAAAATTCGATTTAAAAATTCAAAAGTGATGTATTGAATTTCCAATTTCAAAACAATGGGAGAAACGATTAATATTTTACGAAGTACATGATTGAATATTGTATTGTTCAAACCCGCATTCTTTTGTAATTTTCATCGTGTAAATTATTGGGATGAGCCTACACATATTGGAGATAAATAATGTGATTTAGGAAGTTGACTTGTTCTAAATAAATTAGGATGAGTACAAAAAGACATCTTTGACAAAGATAAAACAATAGGACCCATCTTCCCATTTTTTGGAAGTATTGGTAGATATTTTGGACCCCAAATTTAATGGGATCAATTGGGAACCACTCCACATGGTATTAGTACCTGCAAAACAAATAAAAATGGGTTAGGAGACTTACCTTGGCCGGCCATTATGGAGAAGAGCTGCACATGACTTGATAAGAATCAAAGTTTGGGGCCACCACTCTTATTTTCGCACAAATTGGTGTGCTGTTTGTCTCCTCTCATTATAGGAGCTATCCTCAACCAAATAACGTGTATGAGGTGTCCTTGGATAGCCTTTGAAGTCTATTATCTCAATTGAGTGGTCTTTGTTCGAGGAGAGAAGGCTTATCTTGCAAAAATCGAGCTGGAACGAGCAAAGGTCTGTGAACTCGAGCTGTGAGAGTGCTGAGACTGTTTGGTCGATATCTCGAGTTTTACAAGTCCAATTAAGGCGTGTGAGATACCCACAGAAAGCTCTCAAGACGAGGAATCCGTGAAGGTCTGGTTTGCAGGAATCGGAGTTGTGGAAGGCTTCCAAATCGTCCGAGCAAAACACAACCTCGCAGGAGAGGATTTAATCTTCTAAAGTGAGTTTTAACCCCAAAGCTTTACTTTTCATTCTCCAAATGATATGAACGATTGGTGAGACTATTATACACTAATCCAAGTGTATAATATGTCCCTAAAAAGTTATCTTATTGATGTAAAGGTTAGATACTAACCTAGATGCAAATATTGGAAAACTAGGAATCGAGTTAGCCGGAAAACACCCGTTCTAGGGGCTGTTTTCGTATCAACGATTAAGGGTTGAACTAGCACTTTGAGGAGGCTGTTTAACACTCATATTTGAGCAAGGAATCAGTCCCAAATCCACCTTGACCAAAGATTTGACCATTGGACCAAGAAGGGAAAGTTTAAAGCTCAATTGAGGTGAGGATTGACATCTAATTGCTTACAACTTGTAGGTTAAGCATGAGATTACCTAAATGCTTAAATCATGATTTTTCATGGATTATGATGACTATATATTGATGAAATATTGATATAGTTGCCAAAGAATGAATTTGGAATGATTTGAGAAAGTATGAATAATATGAGATTAAATGAGTATAAATGAACTATTTTGTGAAAATGGGCATTTTGCTCATGTATGAATCATGTGGATACATAAATGAATATTTGTGTATTGAGATTGAATACTTAAGTTGCTGCTACATAATTATAAATATGTAGAGAATTACAAACAATGAGGATAATGGTACGATAACAATAATCTTAATAGTATTGGAATACTAGTTAGTGATTATTGGAACTTGTTGATTAAATTGATCCTAGGGATTGGATTGTATGAAAGGTACTTGAATGTAGTTCAAGTGTATATGATAACTTAGTATGGAACTAAGGTTAAGTTATGGGGAGTCTTTAAGGATGACCCATGGTAGTTTAATGCTATGTCAATTCTAGGCATAGGGTTGCTTGAGAATTGGACCTTAATGCATGGTGATGTGATAGAGCCGAGCTCTAGAATGCATGTAAGGTGTAGACTTGGAGTCTATGTATTGTATAGCTAGAGCCGAGCTCTAGGACTTGCGTGGTGATGTGATAGAGCCGAGCTCTAGAACGCAAGGTAGGGAAATTGACCCGAGGTATATGAATTGTATGGTGATGTGGTAGAGCCGAGCTCTAGAATACAATGTCATGTACTAGGGTTGGACTCTAGGAGTTGTCGTGGCTTATAGTCACGGGGTTGGGAATGGTGATTTCCAAATGAAAACGGGCCCACGGGCCGACTACTTGACTTTTATATAAAGTAAGTATATTTTTAAACGGGGTAACTTAGGGTTACAATCATAATGTACTATCACCCTACTTGAGGGTCTTGTGTTTGAAATACTTGTTGTATATCTATTAGATGCCTGCCACACCAGTACTTTATAGCCGTATAGAGTACTGACCCCTTCGGGGGCGTCCCACCACCATTTCAGGTTGAGGCTAGAGCTTGCTTCCTGTGCTCGTTGATCGAGTGATTCCTTGGAGAGAAGACTTGGTTCGTGCTTCCTCCATTCTGTTTTTAAATAATATTAAACTTGCTCATGGATATTTTACTTTAGAGCCTGCGTGCTCATGTTTGCCCTGTGTGGCCCTTTTGTTTTAAACAATGTTTTCCGCTGCGTATTCAATTGTTTATTATGTATGTTTATGGATGACTTATGTGTGAATGATATTCATGACGCCTTGTATAATATGAATGTGTTGGACTGCGGTTGACTATTCGTATCGTACGGCGGGTTGTTGACGTGTCCGGGGAGGTCCGGGGCGTGACAATTAAGTTGGTATCAGAGCCTTAGTCCATAAACTTCATAATGAAGTCTCAAAATTCTCTTTTTGAAAAGATTTTGAAAACCATGAGCATGGAAGTTTTGTACTTGGAGAGCTTTTGGTACTTGGGTTGCAAGGTCTCTAATTGTTAAGATGGTACCCTTAGCAATTGGTATGGCGGTGACTCGAGCCAAAATGTGTCTTAAGTACCTATCCGTCAATTGACATTTGATACGAGTCTAACGACTCCTTCCAAATTTCTTTCAGAAATGGACCGTGGTGGCAGGATTACTAGGAGAAACCCGACGGGTCGTGTACCAGTGGAGACTGGACAGGGCAGTCGAAGGACCTCTAGGGCATCTAGAGGAGCTGGCCGTGGAGGCCAATCACAGACCGTGAGCGACGGTCATGTCGACACGGAAAGTGAAACCTACTGGTCCTATGAGGACTCGACCTATCGACCGGAAACTGAACCGGTTGAGACCCCTTATGAAGGGGATGATGATGATGTAAGTGATGAGGAGGAAAATGGCTCCTTAGCACGGATTGAAGCACTACTTCAACAGTACCACCGTGAGCGTGAGGAGAGGAGGGAACGCCGAAGGCGCCGGGCTGGGCAACCTTCGGGCGGGGCTTCAAGAGGGAGAAGCCATGGCGACTCTAGGGCCCACATTGAACCACATGGGGGTCGGGGTGATGGAGGTCCAATCATAAGGATCTCCAAATACATCAAAGAGGCACGAGACTTGGGGTGCAAACCGTTCGATGGGACGGGTGACATCTCCGTTTCGGCACAATGGATTAAGCGGCTGAATGAGGCAGCCCTGGACATGCAACTCACCCCCGAATATAAACTAAGGGTTGCGGTGAGATTGCTTGAAGGTATGGCATCCAAGTGGTGGGATGGGACCAAAGGCAAATATGGCGAGACCGTCACTTGGGAGAATTTCCGACAGGAATTCTTTGCCCAATATTACTCGGATTTTGAGGTGAACAAGAAAGTGAGGGAATACACCCTTCTAACCCAAGGGGGTAACATGACGGTGAGGGAACTTGAGTACAAGTTCAGGGATCTTGCCGATTACATACCTGAGTATGCTTGTGACGAGAACCGGATGGTGAACCACTTCTGGGATGCTCTAGACTTGGAGATACGTGACAGGGCAACACAATTGCCTAACATGACGTTTGCCCAAGTGGTTGACCAAGGGTTGAAAGGAGAGAAGCAATGGGAAGAAAGGAAGAAGAGAGACGCCGAGGAGGCGAAAAAGAGAAAGTGGGAGAGTCATGGCTCCCAAGGTTCCAACAAAAAGGGGAACCACGGAGGAGGATCTTTCCGGGCACCACCGCCACCATATGGGGGGAACCAAGGCCCGAGTGGGCAAGGCGCGAGGTCACAAACCTCAGTGGTAGCTCGTTGCAACAATTGCAAGAAGAACCACTCCGGTAAATGTCGCGACCCCCCTAGATGTTTTCAATGCGGGGATGCCGGGCATTTGAAGGCACATTGCCCACAATTGAGTGGGGCAAGGACATCGGGGCCGAGTAGCGGTCCGACGGGTACACGGAATCAAACCGGAGCTTCTCAAGCGAGCCGGGGACATGGGGGAGCGAGTACGAGCAACGCGCCATCCGTGAATCAAGGAAGAACTCAAGCTAGAGTTTATGCGATGACGGAGGCGGATGCTCGAGCTAACCCGGACTCGGTTGCAGGTATTGCCTCTTGCACAATTGTATTTTGTCCATATTTAATCCATAAATTGATGACATAAGTCATAGGGATTGAGTGCGAGCCATTTCGGGGTCAAACGGCGAAATTCGGGCCAAAACTGACCAAAAACAGGGACGCACGATCGTGCGTCCAACCCCACGCACGATCGTGCGTAGGGGACAGTGGTTCCAGGTGAATTTCGCGCAGGACGCACGACCGTGCGTGCCGGTACGCACGCCGTGCGTGGACGCACGATCGTGCGTGGCCGGGTACGCACGATCGTGCGTAACCGGCAGTGGTCGGATTCGACGCTTCTTCACGCACGCACGACCGTGCGTGTCCCACGCACGACCGTGCGTGGACCCCAGCCGCCCGAAACCTAAGTTTTTCCTCTCGTTCTTCTACGATTGGACCCCCGTTTGATTCCGAACATCTATATGAACCTATTAACCTCCAAAAAGTGTCCTAAACCATTAAAAAAGGTGTCTTACATGGTTCATGAATGTAGGGACACTAAAGATTAACGGGAAGGATGCACGAATCCTTATCGATACCGGAGCGCAACGTTCATTCGTGAGTGAGGCGTTTGCCGAGAGCTTAGAGATGCAATCAATACCAATGACACAAACCTTAGTGGTATCAACCCCACTAGGGGAAGACGTTGAAAGAAACAATTACTATCCATCTTGTATGGTGGAAATCGGTGGCCAAACCTTGACGTGTGATTTCGTACCGCTGAGTATGATGGAGTTCGATGCAATCCTAGGGATGGATTGGCTAGAAAAGCATCATGCTAGGGTAGATTGCTACACAAAGGTGTTGGAACTCGAAGGCACGCATGGGGACACCCTACGCTTCGAGGGGGACCGCGGCAAATCAAATAGTTGTATCATATCCGCCGTGAGAGCGAGAAATATGATGAGGAAGGGATGCCACGCATATCTAGCATACGTGGTTGACAAAACCAAAGAGGGAACGAACATCGATGATGTGAGGGTGGTTTGTAAGTATCCGGATGTCTTCCCTAAAGACCTACCGGGGCTTCCACCTGACAGGGAGATTGAATTTGTGATCGAGGTCGAGCCTGGTACCAAACCAATCTCCATACCGCCATACCGGATGGCACCCGCTGAACTTAACGAGTTAAAAACCCAATTGCAAGAGCTTTTGGATAACGGTTTCATTAGACCAAGCCACTCCCCGTGGGGAGCACCGGTTCTTTTTGTGAAAAAGAAAGATGGGACACTTCGAATGTGCATTGACTATCGTCAACTGAACAAGGTCACAATCAAGAATAGGTATCCGTTGCCTAGGATTGATGACTTGTTTGATCAACTACGAGGAGCAACCGTGTTTTCGAAGATTGACTTAAGGTCGGGGTACCATCAATTGAAGATTAAGGAAGATGACATACCAAAGAGTGCTTTCCGCACAAGGTATGGGCATTTTGAGTTCCTTGTTATGTCGTTTGGGTTAACAAACGCCCCGGCGGCATTCATGGACTTGATGAACCGAGTATTTCATAAATACTTGGATCGATTCGTGATTGTGTTCATAGATGACATCTTGATTTACTCAAAGAGTGAAGAAGAGCATGAGGAGCACTTGATACTTGTTCTTGAAACACTACGGGAGAAGCAACTCTATGCCAATTTTTCTAAATGTGAATTTTGGCTAAAGGAGATTGGCTTCCTCGGGCACGTGGTTTCGGGATCGGGGATTGCTGTTGATAACAAGAAGATAGAAGCCATCACTGAATGGGAGAGGCCAAAGAACGTCAAGGAAATTCGTAGTTTCCTTGGATTGGCAGGCTACTATAGAAAGTTCGTGGAAAAGTTCTCTGTTTTGGCATCGCCATTGACGAAGCTCACTCGTAAAGGAGCTAAGTTTGTATGGGATGACAAATGTGAGAAAGGGTTCATGGAACTAAAGAAGAGATTGACTGAGGCACCGGTACTTGCATTACCCAAACAAGGTGTGGGGTACGATGTCTATAGCGATGCGAGCATTCAAGGGCTCGGATGTGTACTGATGCAGAATGGGAGGGTAATCGCCTATGCTTCACGACAATTGAAGAAGCATGAGGTGAATTATCCTACTCATGATTTGGAGCTCGGGGCAGTGGTATTTGCACTGAAGATATGGAGACATTATCTCTACGGGGAGACATGTCACATATACACTGATCACAAGAGCTTGAAGTACGTGTTTACTCAGAAAGAGCTAAACATGAGACAGAGACGGTGGATGGAGCTGATAAAAGACTACCATCTGGTGATAGAGTATCACCCAGGCAAGGCAAACGTGGTGGCAGATGCTTTGAGCCGGAAGAGCTCGTCTGGGGCATTGATAACTAATTTGAGGGCATTAAGAGCCCAACTGGAGGTAACCAGCGATGGTGCCTTATTGGCACGATTTGAGGTGAGACCCACTTTACTTGATGAGATCAAGAAGGGTCAGGAAGCCGACGAAGAACTTATGAAGGTCCGGGAACGCATGCAAGCGGGGCCGGTGGAGGATTTCAGGGAAAGAGATGATGGTCTCTTGTTATTTCGTGACCGAGTGTGTGTACCGTCAGATGATGAGCTCCGAAAGTCCATCTTAGAGGAGGCTCATTCATCGGCTTATGCCATGCACCCGGGGGGCACGAAAATGTACCGTGATTTGAAGGAAAGTTACTGGTGGTCTGGAATGAAGAGGGAAATAGCCGAGTACATCAGTCGGTGCCTTACTTGTCAACAAGTTAAGGCAGAACATCAGCACCCAGCAGGCTTATTGCAACCACTCTCCATCCCTGAATGGAAGTGGGAGCACGTGACTATGGATTTCGTGGTAGGCTTACCACGGACTATCAGGAACTATGACGCGGTTTGGGTCGTTGTGGATAGGCTCACAAAGAGTGCACACTTCTTGCCTATCAACACTACCTACCCACTTGAGAGGTTAGCCAAATTGTATACGGATGAGATCGTGAGGCTGCATGGGGTCCCGGTGACCATTGTATCTGATAGAGACCCACGATTCACATCACGTTTTTGGCCGAAATTCCAGGAGTCTATGGGAACGAAGTTGAAGTTCAGCACTGCTTTCCATCCACAGACGGATGGGCAGTCTGAAAGGGTTATTAAGATCCTAGAAGACATGCTGAGGGCTTGTGCATTGGAGTTCCAGGGAAGTTGGGACAACCACTTAGCACTTGTGGAGTTTGCCTATAACAACAGTTATCAGGCAAGCATCGGCATGCCTCCATACGAGGCATTGTATGGGAGGAGGTGCCGTACACCGTTATGCTGGGACGAGGTTGGCATGGCCAAACTCGAGGGTACTGAGTTGGTTGAGGTCACCAAATCAAAGGTGAAGTTGATTCGAGAGAGACTCAAGGCGGCTCAGGATAGACAAAAGAGTTATGCAGATAAGCGTCGAAGAACCTTAGAGTTTAAGGTTGATGACGAGGTATTCTTGAAAGTTTCTCCTTGGAAAGGGATCATTCGGTTCCAAACCCGAGGAAAACTTAACCCACGATATATAGGTCCATTCAGAATTATAGAGAGGATTGGGGCCGTTGCATATCGTCTACAGTTGACTCCTGAGTTAGAGAAGATACATAATGTGTTTCATGTATCCATGCTTAAGAAGTATGTGCATGATCCCTCTCACGTACTAGAGAAGCCACCTGTAGAGGTACGTGAGGATTTGAACTACGCTGTTCAACCTATCAAGGTCACCGATAGAAAGGTGAAGAAGCTGAGGAGCAAAGAAGTCCCAATGGTTAAAGTCCTGTGGAAGAGCGATCGGGTCGAGGAAGAGACATGGGAAACGGAGGCTTTGATGAGGAAGCAGTATGCTTTCCTATTCGAGTAGAGCTGTGAATTTCGGGGACGAAATTCCTGTTAAGGGGGGGTGAACTTGTGACACCGCACCCGAACGTCCTTGAAAATTCGATTTAAAAATTCAAAAGTGATGTATTGAATTTCCAATTTCAAAACAATGGGAGAAACGATTAATATTTTACGAAGTACATGATTGAATATTGTATTGTTCAAACCCGCATTCTTTTGTAATTTTCATCGTGTAAATTATTGGGATGAGCCTACACATATTGGAGATCAATAATGTGATTTAGGAAGTTGACTTGTTCTAAATAAATTAGGATGAGTACAAAAAGACATCTTTGACAAAGATAAAACAATAGGACCCATCTTCCCATTTTTTGGAAGTATTGGTAGATATTTTGGACCCCAAATTTAATGGGATCAATTGGGAACCACTCCACATGGTATTAGTACCTGCAAAACAAATAAAAATGGGTTAGGAGACTTACCTTGGCCGGCCATTATGGAGAAGAGCTGCACATGACTTGATAAGAATCAAAGTTTGGGGCCACCACTCTTATTTTCGCACAAATTGGTGTGCTGTTTGTCTCCTCTCATTATAGGAGCTATCCTCAACCAAATAACGTGTATGAGGTGTCCTTGGATAGCCTTTGAAGTCTATTATCTCAATTGAGTGGTCTTTGTTCGAGGAGAGAAGGCTTATCTTGCAAAAATCGAGCTGGAACGAGCAAAGGTCTGTGAACTCGAGCTGTGAGAGTGCTGAGACTGTTTGGTCGATATCTCGAGTTTTACAAGTCCAATTAAGGCGTGTGAGATACCCACAGAAAGCTCTCAAGACGAGGAATCCGTGAAGGTCTGGTTTGCAGGAATCGGAGTTGTGGAAGGCTTCCAAATCGTCCGAGCAAAACACAACCTCGCAGGAGAGGATTTAATCTTCTAAAGTGAGTTTTAACCCCAAAGCTTTACTTTTCATTCTCCAAATGATATGAACGATTGGTGAGACTATTATACACTAATCCAAGTGTATAATATGTCCCTAAAAAGTTATCTTATTGATGTAAAGGTTAGATACTAACCTAGATGCAAATATTGGAAAACTAGGAATCGAGTTAGCCGGAAAACACCCGTTCTAGGGGCTGTTTTCGTATCAACGATTAAGGGTTGAACTAGCACTTTGAGGAGGCTGTTTAACACTCATATTTGAGCAAGGAATCAGTCCCAAATCCACCTTGACCAAAGATTTGACCATTGGACCAAGAAGGGAAAGTTTAAAGCTCAATTGAGGTGAGGATTGACATCTAATTGCTTACAACTTGTAGGTTAAGCATGAGATTACCTAAATGCTTAAATCATGATTTTTCATGGATTATGATGACTATATATTGATGAAATATTGATATAGTTGCCAAAGAATGAATTTGGAATGATTTGAGAAAGTATGAATAATATGAGATTAAATGAGTATAAATGAACTATTTTGTGAAAATGGGCATTTTGCTCATGTATGAATCATGTGGATACATAAATGAATATTTGTGTATTGAGATTGAATACTTAAGTTGCTGCTACATAATTATAAATATGTAGAGAATTACAAACAATGAGGATAATGGTACGATAACAATAATCTTAATAGTATTGGAATACTAGTTAGTGATTATTGGAACTTGTTGATTAAATTGATCCTAGGGATTGGATTGTATGAAAGGTACTTGAATGTAGTTCAAGTGTATATGATAACTTAGTATGGAACTAAGGTTAAGTTATGGGGAGTCTTTAAGGATGACCCATGGTAGTTTAATGCTATGTCAATTCTAGGCATAGGGTTGCTTGAGAATTGGACCTTAATGCATGGTGATGTGATAGAGCCGAGCTCTAGAATGCATGTAAGGTGTAGACTTGGAGTCTATGTATTGTATAGCTAGAGCCGAGCTCTAGGACTTGCGTGGTGATGTGATAGAGCCGAGCTCTAGAACGCAAGGTAGGGAAATTGACCCGAGGTATATGAATTGTATGGTGATGTGGTAGAGCCGAGCTCTAGAATACAATGTCATGTACTAGGGTTGGACTCTAGGAGTTGTCGTGGCTTATAGTCACGGGGTTGGGAATGGTGATTTCCAAATGAAAACGGGCCCACGGGCCGACTACTTGACTTTTATATAAAGTAAGTATATTTTTAAACGGGGTAACTTAGGGTTACAATCATAATGTACTATCACCCTACTTGAGGGTCTTGTGTTTGAAATACTTGTTGTATATCTATTAGATGCCTGCCACACCAGTACTTTATAGCCGTATAGAGTACTGACCCCTTCGGGGGCGTCCCACCACCATTTCAGGTTGAGGCTAGAGCTTGCTTCCTGTGCTCGTTGATCGAGTGATTCCTTGGAGAGAAGACTTGGTTCGTGCTTCCTCCATTCTGTTTTTAAATAATATTAAACTTGCTCATGGATATTTTACTTTAGAGCCTGCGTGCTCATGTTTGCCCTGTGTGGCCCTTTTGTTTTAAACAATGTTTTCCGCTGCGTATTCAATTGTTTATTATGTATGTTTATGGATGACTTATGTGTGAATGATATTCATGACGCCTTGTATAATATGAATGTGTTGGACTGCGGTTGACTATTCGTATCGTACGGCGGGTTGTTGACGTGTCCGGGGAGGTCCGGGGCGTGACAATTAAGTTGGTATCAGAGCCTTAGTCCATAAACTTCATAATGAAGTCTCAAAATTCTCTTTTTGAAAAGATTTTGAAAACCATGAGCATGGAAGTTTTGTACTTGGAGAGCTTTTGGTACTTGGGTTGCAAGGTCTCTAATTGTTAAGATGGTACCCTTAGCAATTGGTATGGCGGTGACTCGAGCCAAAATGTGTCTTAAGTACCTATCCGTCAATTGACATTTGATACGAGTCTAACGACTCCTTCCAAATTTCTTTCAGAAATGGACCGTGGTGGCAGGATTACTAGGAGAAACCCGACGGGTCGTGTACCAGTGGAGACTGGACAGGGCAGTCGAAGGACCTCTAGGGCATCTAGAGGAGCTGGCCGTGGAGGCCAATCACAGACCGTGAGCGACGGTCATGTCGACACGGAAAGTGAAACCTACTGGTCCTATGAGGACTCGACCTATCGACCGGAAACTGAACCGGTTGAGACCCCTTATGAAGGGGATGATGATGATGTAAGTGATGAGGAGGAAAATGGCTCCTTAGCACGGATTGAAGCACTACTTCAACAGTACCACCGTGAGCGTGAGGAGAGGAGGGAACGCCGAAGGCGCCGGGCTGGGCAACCTTCGGGCGGGGCTTCAAGAGGGAGAAGCCATGGCGACTCTAGGGCCCACATTGAACCACATGGGGGTCGGGGTGATGGAGGTCCAATCATAAGGATCTCCAAATACATCAAAGAGGCACGAGACTTGGGGTGCAAACCGTTCGATGGGACGGGTGACATCTCCGTTTCGGCACAATGGATTAAGCGGCTGAATGAGGCAGCCCTGGACATGCAACTCACCCCCGAATATAAACTAAGGGTTGCGGTGAGATTGCTTGAAGGTATGGCATCCAAGTGGTGGGATGGGACCAAAGGCAAATATGGCGAGACCGTCACTTGGGAGAATTTCCGACAGGAATTCTTTGCCCAATATTACTCGGATTTTGAGGTGAACAAGAAAGTGAGGGAATACACCCTTCTAACCCAAGGGGGTAACATGACGGTGAGGGAACTTGAGTACAAGTTCAGGGATCTTGCCGATTACATACCTGAGTATGCTTGTGACGAGAACCGGATGGTGAACCACTTCTGGGATGCTCTAGACTTGGAGATACGTGACAGGGCAACACAATTGCCTAACATGACGTTTGCCCAAGTGGTTGACCAAGGGTTGAAAGGAGAGAAGCAATGGGAAGAAAGGAAGAAGAGAGACGCCGAGGAGGCGAAAAAGAGAAAGTGGGAGAGTCATGGCTCCCAAGGTTCCAACAAAAAGGGGAACCACGGAGGAGGATCTTTCCGGGCACCACCGCCACCATATGGGGGGAACCAAGGCCCGAGTGGGCAAGGCGCGAGGTCACAAACCTCAGTGGTAGCTCGTTGCAACAATTGCAAGAAGAACCACTCCGGTAAATGTCGCGACCCCCCTAGATGTTTTCAATGCGGGGATGCCGGGCATTTGAAGGCACATTGCCCACAATTGAGTGGGGCAAGGACATCGGGGCCGAGTAGCGGTCCGACGGGTACACGGAATCAAACCGGAGCTTCTCAAGCGAGCCGGGGACATGGGGGAGCGAGTACGAGCAACGCGCCATCCGTGAATCAAGGAAGAACTCAAGCTAGAGTTTATGCGATGACGGAGGCGGATGCTCGAGCTAACCCGGACTCGGTTGCAGGTATTGCCTCTTGCACAATTGTATTTTGTCCATATTTAATCCATAAATTGATGACATAAGTCATAGGGATTGAGTGCGAGCCATTTCGGGGTCAAACGGCGAAATTCGGGCCAAAACTGACCAAAAACAGGGACGCACGATCGTGCGTCCAACCCCACGCACGATCGTGCGTAGGGGACAGTGGTTCCAGGTGAATTTCGCGCAGGACGCACGACCGTGCGTGCCGGTACGCACGCCGTGCGTGGACGCACGATCGTGCGTGGCCGGGTACGCACGATCGTGCGTAACCGGCAGTGGTCGGATTCGACGCTTCTTCACGCACGCACGACCGTGCGTGTCCCACGCACGACCGTGCGTGGACCCCAGCCGCCCGAAACCTAAGTTTTTCCTCTCGTTCTTCTACGATTGGACCCCCGTTTGATTCCGAACATCTATATGAACCTATTAACCTCCAAAAAGTGTCCTAAACCATTAAAAAAGGTGTCTTACATGGTTCATGAATGTAGGGACACTAAAGATTAACGGGAAGGATGCACGAATCCTTATCGATACCGGAGCGCAACGTTCATTCGTGAGTGAGGCGTTTGCCGAGAGCTTAGAGATGCAATCAATACCAATGACACAAACCTTAGTGGTATCAACCCCACTAGGGGAAGACGTTGAAAGAAACAATTACTATCCATCTTGTATGGTGGAAATCGGTGGCCAAACCTTGACGTGTGATTTCGTACCGCTGAGTATGATGGAGTTCGATGCAATCCTAGGGATGGATTGGCTAGAAAAGCATCATGCTAGGGTAGATTGCTACACAAAGGTGTTGGAACTCGAAGGCACGCATGGGGACACCCTACGCTTCGAGGGGGACCGCGGCAAATCAAATAGTTGTATCATATCCGCCGTGAGAGCGAGAAATATGATGAGGAAGGGATGCCACGCATATCTAGCATACGTGGTTGACAAAACCAAAGAGGGAACGAACATCGATGATGTGAGGGTGGTTTGTAAGTATCCGGATGTCTTCCCTAAAGACCTACCGGGGCTTCCACCTGACAGGGAGATTGAATTTGTGATCGAGGTCGAGCCTGGTACCAAACCAATCTCCATACCGCCATACCGGATGGCACCCGCTGAACTTAACGAGTTAAAAACCCAATTGCAAGAGCTTTTGGATAACGGTTTCATTAGACCAAGCCACTCCCCGTGGGGAGCACCGGTTCTTTTTGTGAAAAAGAAAGATGGGACACTTCGAATGTGCATTGACTATCGTCAACTGAACAAGGTCACAATCAAGAATAGGTATCCGTTGCCTAGGATTGATGACTTGTTTGATCAACTACGAGGAGCAACCGTGTTTTCGAAGATTGACTTAAGGTCGGGGTACCATCAATTGAAGATTAAGGAAGATGACATACCAAAGAGTGCTTTCCGCACAAGGTATGGGCATTTTGAGTTCCTTGTTATGTCGTTTGGGTTAACAAACGCCCCGGCGGCATTCATGGACTTGATGAACCGAGTATTTCATAAATACTTGGATCGATTCGTGATTGTGTTCATAGATGACATCTTGATTTACTCAAAGAGTGAAGAAGAGCATGAGGAGCACTTGATACTTGTTCTTGAAACACTACGGGAGAAGCAACTCTATGCCAAATTTTCTAAATGTGAATTTTGGCTAAAGGAGATTGGCTTCCTCGGGCACGTGGTTTCGGGATCGGGGATTGCTGTTGATAACAAGAAGATAGAAGCCATCACTGAATGGGAGAGGCCAAAGAACGTCAAGGAAATTCGTAGTTTCCTTGGATTGGCAGGCTACTATAGAAAGTTCGTGGAAAAGTTCTCTGTTTTGGCATCGCCATTGACGAAGCTCACTCGTAAAGGAGCTAAGTTTGTATGGGATGACAAATGTGAGAAAGGGTTCATGGAACTAAAGAAGAGATTGACTGAGGCACCGGTACTTGCATTACCCAAACAAGGTGTGGGGTACGATGTCTATAGCGATGCGAGCATTCAAGGGCTCGGATGTGTACTGATGCAGAATGGGAGGGTAATCGCCTATGCTTCACGACAATTGAAGAAGCATGAGGTGAATTATCCTACTCATGATTTGGAGCTCGGGGCAGTGGTATTTGCACTGAAGATATGGAGACATTATCTCTACGGGGAGACATGTCACATATACACTGATCACAAGAGCTTGAAGTACGTGTTTACTCAGAAAGAGCTAAACATGAGACAGAGACGGTGGATGGAGCTGATAAAAGACTACCATCTGGTGATAGAGTATCACCCAGGCAAGGCAAACGTGGTGGCAGATGCTTTGAGCCGGAAGAGCTCGTCTGGGGCATTGATAACTAATTTGAGGGCATTAAGAGCCCAACTGGAGGTAACCAGCGATGGTGCCTTATTGGCACGATTTGAGGTGAGACCCACTTTACTTGATGAGATCAAGAAGGGTCAGGAAGCCGACGAAGAACTTATGAAGGTCCGGGAACGCATGCAAGCGGGGCCGGTGGAGGATTTCAGGGAAAGAGATGATGGTCTCTTGTTATTTCGTGACCGAGTGTGTGTACCGTCAGATGATGAGCTCCGAAAGTCCATCTTAGAGGAGGCTCATTCATCGGCTTATGCCATGCACCCGGGGGGCACGAAAATGTACCGTGATTTGAAGGAAAGTTACTGGTGGTCTGGAATGAAGAGGGAAATAGCCGAGTACATCAGTCGGTGCCTTACTTGTCAACAAGTTAAGGCAGAACATCAGCACCCAGCAGGCTTATTGCAACCACTCTCCATCCCTGAATGGAAGTGGGAGCACGTGACTATGGATTTCGTGGTAGGCTTACCACGGACTATCAGGAACTATGACGCGGTTTGGGTCGTTGTGGATAGGCTCACAAAGAGTGCACACTTCTTGCCTATCAACACTACCTACCCACTTGAGAGGTTAGCCAAATTGTATACGGATGAGATCGTGAGGCTGCATGGGGTCCCGGTGACCATTGTATCTGATAGAGACCCACGATTCACATCACGTTTTTGGCCGAAATTCCAGGAGTCTATGGGAACGAAGTTGAAGTTCAGCACTGCTTTCCATCCACAGACGGATGGGCAGTCTGAAAGGGTTATTAAGATCCTAGAAGACATGCTGAGGGCTTGTGCATTGGAGTTCCAGGGAAGTTGGGACAACCACTTAGCACTTGTGGAGTTTGCCTATAACAACAGTTATCAGGCAAGCATCGGCATGCCTCCATACGAGGCATTGTATGGGAGGAGGTGCCGTACACCGTTATGCTGGGACGAGGTTGGCATGGCCAAACTCGAGGGTACTGAGTTGGTTGAGGTCACCAAATCAAAGGTGAAGTTGATTCGAGAGAGACTCAAGGCGGCTCAGGATAGACAAAAGAGTTATGCAGATAAGCGTCGAAGAACCTTAGAGTTTAAGGTTGATGACGAGGTATTCTTGAAAGTTTCTCCTTGGAAAGGGATCATTCGGTTCCAAACCCGAGGAAAACTTAACCCACGATATATAGGTCCATTCAGAATTATAGAGAGGATTGGGGCCGTTGCATATCGTCTACAGTTGACTCCTGAGTTAGAGAAGATACATAATGTGTTTCATGTATCCATGCTTAAGAAGTATGTGCATGATCCCTCTCACGTACTAGAGAAGCCACCTGTAGAGGTACGTGAGGATTTGAACTACGCTGTTCAACCTATCAAGGTCACCGATAGAAAGGTGAAGAAGCTGAGGAGCAAAGAAGTCCCAATGGTTAAAGTCCTGTGGAAGAGCGATCGGGTCGAGGAAGAGACATGGGAAACGGAGGCTTTGATGAGGAAGCAGTATGCTTTCCTATTCGAGTAGAGCTGTGAATTTCGGGGACGAAATTCCTGTTAAGGGGGGGTGAACTTGTGACACCGCACCCGAACGTCCTTGAAAATTCGATTTAAAAATTCAAAAGTGATGTATTGAATTTCCAATTTCAAAACAATGGGAGAAACGATTAATATTTTACGAAGTACATGATTGAATATTGTATTGTTCAAACCCGCATTCTTTTGTAATTTTCATCGTGTAAATTATTGGGATGAGCCTACACATATTGGAGATCAATAATGTGATTTAGGAAGTTGACTTGTTCTAAATAAATTAGGATGAGTACAAAAAGACATCTTTGACAAAGATAAAACAATAGGACCCATCTTCCCATTTTTTGGAAGTATTGGTAGATATTTTGGACCCCAAATTTAATGGGATCAATTGGGAACCACTCCACATGGTATTAGTACCTGCAAAACAAATAAAAATGGGTTAGGAGACTTACCTTGGCCGGCCATTATGGAGAAGAGCTGCACATGACTTGATAAGAATCAAAGTTTGGGGCCACCACTCTTATTTTCGCACAAATTGGTGTGCTGTTTGTCTCCTCTCATTATAGGAGCTATCCTCAACCAAATAACGTGTATGAGGTGTCCTTGGATAGCCTTTGAAGTCTATTATCTCAATTGAGTGGTCTTTGTTCGAGGAGAGAAGGCTTATCTTGCAAAAATCGAGCTGGAACGAGCAAAGGTCTGTGAACTCGAGCTGTGAGAGTGCTGAGACTGTTTGGTCGATATCTCGAGTTTTACAAGTCCAATTAAGGCGTGTGAGATACCCACAGAAAGCTCTCAAGACGAGGAATCCGTGAAGGTCTGGTTTGCAGGAATCGGAGTTGTGGAAGGCTTCCAAATCGTCCGAGCAAAACACAACCTCGCAGGAGAGGATTTAATCTTCTAAAGTGAGTTTTAACCCCAAAGCTTTACTTTTCATTCTCCAAATGATATGAACGATTGGTGAGACTATTATACACTAATCCAAGTGTATAATATGTCCCTAAAAAGTTATCTTATTGATGTAAAGGTTAGATACTAACCTAGATGCAAATATTGGAAAACTAGGAATCGAGTTAGCCGGAAAACACCCGTTCTAGGGGCTGTTTTCGTATCAACGATTAAGGGTTGAACTAGCACTTTGAGGAGGCTGTTTAACACTCATATTTGAGCAAGGAATCAGTCCCAAATCCACCTTGACCAAAGATTTGACCATTGGACCAAGAAGGGAAAGTTTAAAGCTCAATTGAGGTGAGGATTGACATCTAATTGCTTACAACTTGTAGGTTAAGCATGAGATTACCTAAATGCTTAAATCATGATTTTTCATGGATTATGATGACTATATATTGATGAAATATTGATATAGTTGCCAAAGAATGAATTTGGAATGATTTGAGAAAGTATGAATAATATGAGATTAAATGAGTATAAATGAACTATTTTGTGAAAATGGGCATTTTGCTCATGTATGAATCATGTGGATACATAAATGAATATTTGTGTATTGAGATTGAATACTTAAGTTGCTGCTACATAATTATAAATATGTAGAGAATTACAAACAATGAGGATAATGGTACGATAACAATAATCTTAATAGTATTGGAATACTAGTTAGTGATTATTGGAACTTGTTGATTAAATTGATCCTAGGGATTGGATTGTATGAAAGGTACTTGAATGTAGTTCAAGTGTATATGATAACTTAGTATGGAACTAAGGTTAAGTTATGGGGAGTCTTTAAGGATGACCCATGGTAGTTTAATGCTATGTCAATTCTAGGCATAGGGTTGCTTGAGAATTGGACCTTAATGCATGGTGATGTGATAGAGCCGAGCTCTAGAATGCATGTAAGGTGTAGACTTGGAGTCTATGTATTGTATAGCTAGAGCCGAGCTCTAGGACTTGCGTGGTGATGTGATAGAGCCGAGCTCTAGAACGCAAGGTAGGGAAATTGACCCGAGGTATATGAATTGTATGGTGATGTGGTAGAGCCGAGCTCTAGAATACAATGTCATGTACTAGGGTTGGACTCTAGGAGTTGTCGTGGCTTATAGTCACGGGGTTGGGAATGGTGATTTCCAAATGAAAACGGGCCCACGGGCCGACTACTTGACTTTTATATAAAGTAAGTATATTTTTAAACGGGGTAACTTAGGGTTACAATCATAATGTACTATCACCCTACTTGAGGGTCTTGTGTTTGAAATACTTGTTGTATATCTATTAGATGCCTGCCACACCAGTACTTTATAGCCGTATAGAGTACTGACCCCTTCGGGGGCGTCCCACCACCATTTCAGGTTGAGGCTAGAGCTTGCTTCCTGTGCTCGTTGATCGAGTGATTCCTTGGAGAGAAGACTTGGTTCGTGCTTCCTCCATTCTGTTTTTAAATAATATTAAACTTGCTCATGGATATTTTACTTTAGAGCCTGCGTGCTCATGTTTGCCCTGTGTGGCCCTTTTGTTTTAAACAATGTTTTCCGCTGCGTATTCAATTGTTTATTATGTATGTTTATGGATGACTTATGTGTGAATGATATTCATGACGCCTTGTATAATATGAATGTGTTGGACTGCGGTTGACTATTCGTATCGTACGGCGGGTTGTTGACGTGTCCGGGGAGGTCCGGGGCGTGACATTATATGAAATTGCCATCTTTTTATATAAAAATGTCATATCTTTGTATATGTAAATGTCATGTTTTGAGATCTATGTTTTGAGATTTGTATATGCCATGTTTTGAGATTTGTATATGCCATGTTTTCTTCACTACTAGAATTTTTGTCATTTGCTGCTGCCCTTTTGCTGCGGTTGTAGATATATCCGCAACAAATTGTTAGTAGTTAAGACTTTTTGCGGCGGTTAAAGAGGAACCGCAGCATTTACTTCGATATTTTGTAGATTATTTGCTGCGGTCTCAATGGAGCCGCATCAATTAGCATTTAATATTTAAATTTAATTACTTTTAGTTGCGGGTATACAACGACCGCAGCATAAGTCCTCCAAAATCAGATAACTTTGTTTGCTCACCCTAGATGCGTTTACAGCCTCCAGATCCGCTCGTAGGGTTCCAGTTCGCAGCAGCGCCTGCTCCCGTCATCGTCAACCCCTCCAGCCGCTGCCTCCGCACGACGCCACTCCAGCCACTGCCTCCGCACGCCGCTGCCTCCGCACGCCGCCCCTCCAGCCGCTGCCTCCGCACGCTGCCCCTCCAGCCGCTGCCTCCGCACGACGCCACTCCAGTCGTTGCCTCCGCACGCCGCCCCTCCAAGCCGCATCCGTCGAATGCTGCCCCTCCCAACCGCCTCCCTAAACGCCGCCCCTGCCAACCGCCTTCCCCGAATGCCGCTTCTCCCAGATGTAGACATCGAATGCCCCCCTCCTAGTAAAGTCCTTTGCCGGCTCATATTGGCTCAATAGAGGTTTAGTTTCCAACCTGATATTTTTACATCTTTTTTTAATTTATTGAATTTTATCAAATTTGTTGGAGATTAGTATTTGTATGAATTCATTGGAAAGGATGATAGATAAACATGTTTTCTGGCTTATTTCCATTTCTATTGTCTTCATTTGCCTGAGGGTTTATATTTTCCCAACTATTTTGGAAGTTATGCTTCAAATACTCCAATTTCACACCAATTTTTATCATAACATGTGTACATTGTTTTCATTATTTTCCTGATCACGAATGAATGCTTTTGTTGTCTTAAGGGCTTGAACTTGCTTTTTTTTCATTCCATTGTTAGAGCTATTGGTGTGTTAGTGCCCCAACAGGTGTCAGCGGCTAAAGGAAGGGGATGACTAAAGATCAGCAAACAAAGCACAGAAAAGGTGTAGCAAGGAAAGTATCAAACTATATTCAGTTACTTCACACTGATACATTAATTAAAGAGGTAAGCTGGTCAAGCATAATGAATGAACACTGCTCGTGTTAATAAGTTTTATTCTCTGGTTTTGTTTTGCTAATGACGTCTACGTGATGGTATACTATTGGAAATAATTCTAGCATGGTTTCACATGCAGGTGATGGTATCGTTTTCCAGGTTTTAGGGATAAACAATCTTTTAATTGATGCATCTCAACTAGATCACAATATGAAAAAGAATGTTTTTTTAACAGTGGGAATGTTAAAGAGAAATTTCTGAATATGTTCTTTTCTAAAAACTACTGTATCATTTTATTGCTTTTTACCATGAGACAAGTGATTCTAACTCTGTAAAGGATAGCATTTGATGATTTTCTATTCATTTTTTCAGCAGAATTATCAATATATTATTTTTGAAATTTGACAAAAGTGCTTTTACGTGTTCGAAGGCATCCCAAATGGGCTCTTTCTACTTTTAGATATGACTATTTTAGTAACTTTCACGAGACACCATCCTTCAATTCCTGCTTCTTTTTGTTTTACTCTTTCATTGTCTTGTTGTAATCACTTATCTCTGTGCCAGGGTTGGGATGATTCGTATGTTCCACGAACAGATGAGGGTCTCTTGAAGTGGAAATACCCAGAAATGAACTCAGTTGTTTCCCTGTTTGAGGTTATATTAATGTATTATTGACTTTAATCATATTGATAAAAATGTTCGATTCCCAATTTTCTATATGAAGTACTCCGTATTAATGTTTTTAAAGTTACGTATCACTATATCTTTTTAGAAAATGCATTGAGTTCTCTTATTCTTATTTTTTATTGATTATTTCGCTGCTGGAATTTCTTCTGCATATGGGAGCTTGTTTTCGACAGTTTGACAGGTGTTGTTGTAATACATAGTTTTAATTTTACATGTGCCCTCCATATGCCAAGATAAAAAGTACATAGTCTAAGTGGGAAAATTAAAAAAGCAATTGATATTTATTTGTAGAAAGTAGATTAAATTTTGGGACATATAAGAAAGACAAAAACATGTTACGCCAGAGTATTATGTACTCAAAAACTTAAACAAGTGCTTATGGAAACACTCCTACACAAGTAAAGAAGCTGGTTAAGTCAAAATTAGACGATATTGTATAGTATATACTCTGTGTTAATTATGTACTAGTATTAATTTAAGTACAACTTTGTAATTTAGAATATTTAGTTGGCTTATTGATTTCATAAGTTTTAAATGTGTGTGCATGTGTAACCATTGTATAATTTTTTATTATGCATATGTATTTCTCTAATTATGTGCTTTTTAGTATATTAGGTTTATTAGAGCACCAGAAGAGATGAACTTTATACACCTTATACATATGTGTTTCTTCAATAGTACAATTGCAGCATTTTGGGGTAAGTATATGAATATATCTTTTACATAAATTTGATTTTTACTTCTTTTAGTTTTTTTTATTGATGTGTATTCTTGGGTAGTTGCTTCACAGGACTTTGGATTTGATTCTTTAATTTTGTTGCCAGAACCGTCACCGCCTTTTATGCACACCCTTTGATCTTATCCTACTTGCATTTCTTTTTCTTGCTGATTATTAATTTCATTTAATTAACTGTAGTTTATTTGGATTTTTTATGAATGGAAATCTTGATGAAACATGCAGTTACCGTCTCTTGGAAACATGCATGATGAGATTGATTTCAAGTTCTTGAGAGATTCTTGCAGATTCACTATGGATAACATTCCAATAAGAGTGTTCACCAACAACAAAGCGATGGGTGTGCCGTTCCTAAATAATCAGTTGATGAAGGTTTACGCCAGCCTGTGGAATGCAGATGATCAAGCAACGCAGGGTGGGCTGGACAAAAAAGACTGTTTAAAGGCTCTATTTTCGGCGTCATACATGGACTTCAACGCCAATGCCTGTTTCTGATATTGTCAGTCGTCGAGTTGCAGTTTGACACAGTCAATCAATGGCGTCCAGGATTTGCAGAGTCAAGATCTTGATGCCAAGAGCAGAAACAAGCTCCAATGGGTGCAACAGAAGTTCACACACAGTCTTCCTCCTAAATGCAAGCACCAGAGGTTCTGATGTTCATTTCTAGTTAAGTTAGGTTTATGATCAGCTAGCTCGATATGTTCTTCTACTTGTTTATTTAGTCTCTCAGTATAATTTAATTTAATTTGTAGAATACTGGTATTTCGTATTCTTTTTTAATGTATTGTGGATTAATTTGTAGAACACTGGTAGTTCGTATTCTTTTGAATGTATTGTGGATTAATGAAAGTGCTTTAACTTAAAAAGTCTAAGCTTTTGAGTTTTGAAATATATATTAAATGCTCCATTCGGATAAAAAAATCCAGCAGCCGCTATATATAGATTTAGCTGCGGTTGGGCACAGACCGTTGCAATAAACTAGTAAAATTTATGAGGCTATTTGCCGCGGTTGCCTATGAACCGCCGCAAAAAGTAATTGCTAAAAAATAGACATGCATATTTGCTGCGGTTGTTGACCGCAGCAAATAACTAAATTCAGATTTTGCTGCTCCTCCAATTGCTGCGGTTCAGAACTGCAGCAAATAGCTCAAAATAACCGCAGCAAATAACCTTTTTTCTAGTAGTGCTTATATCCAAATTCCATTATTATTATGCCAAATAAAGATGCCATTATTATTATTATGCCAAATGAAGATTTGTAAATCTTGGCAGACGGATGATGGTGGTGGGTTTCTGGGGTGGCGGCTGCCTCGAGGTGATGCACCGGCTCCTCGGACGTGGCAGAGGTTACATGGACGCGGTGGCGGCTCCCTGGAGCCTGTGACATCGGTTCTTCCGAGCAGCGGAGGCGGCTCCCCGGAGCCTGTGACATTGGTCCTTCTGTGCAGCGGTGGCAGTGGGCTCACCGGACGCGGCAAACTCACCAGACGACAGGGAACTCACCTGACAACCACAACGGACTCACCGGACTCACCAGCGAACTCATCGTACTTGCCAGACAGCGGCAACGAACTCGCCGGAGTCGCCAGACGGCGGCGGCAGAGTGCCAGACAGAGGCGGCCGCAAAGCTTGACCATTGCTGAACTATTTGGGGGGGGGGGGGGGGCTGGGTGATGCTAGAGTTTTGTTTATTTTGTACTCCATTCTTTTTTTTCTATTTTGTAATTGTAATTTGTAAATAAGACTGGAATTGCATTAAGGGTATTTTAGTCCTATTAAACATTCAACTCCTATTGTAGTCCGATTAAACATTGAACTCCTATTTTTGCTCATGTTCAATGTTTTACTCCTATTGGAGTAATTACCCCTTTAATTTATTTTGAATAGTTTCTTTATGTTGTTGATTTGTACAGAAAAAAGAATTAGCACTACCCTAAGTTTGAAACTTTGAGTCGATTTGGTAGCACTAAATTGCGGAATCAGTTAAATGTGCTGAAATTAGTGAAATTCTTATTGAATTGGATAAACTATTAAATATGTATATGTTTAAATATATTTTATTAATAAAGTAAAGAGAAATATATGAGGAATAGTTGAAAGTTTCTATTTAATAATTTTAAATTCAATTAGAAAAATTATATATACTTAGACTTCACTTATTTTAATTATTACGTAACAACACCATAAAATTCGTGTAGTATTTATTATAATAAGTTTTAGGCTATATATAAAGAATTGACGCTTCTTTGTGCGGAACGACTCCTTCCGATCTCCCTAGCGGCTCTGCTGCGTAGGGTTTTTCCCTCCCTAGCGGCTATGCCGCGTAGGGTTTATCCTCCCTAGCGACTCTGCCGTCGCGTAGAGTTTTTATTCCACCAATTGTTTGAGCGGTTCTTCTTCTCTAGGCTTCTAGAGTGTTTCTTGAATTTAGATTGTTATTTCTGGCTTTGGATTTAGGAGGAGTGAGTGCAGCAACAGTTTTTGGAAACGAATCCAAGGTTCAACAAAGGATAATTATGGCTCCTATGGATGATTTAGAGCAGCGTTGACTCAGTCCTTCAATTGAGGAAAAAGTTGGAGAGTTAGTTTTTGGCAAATCAGCATGGATAGAAGGCGGAGTTGGTAGTGGAGGCGGCACATGCGACGAGAAGATGAGGAGAGGTGAAGGGCTGAGTAAGGGAGAAGACATATCGACGGTCCGCCCCCCTCCTGAACCGCCGCCTTGGAGCGTTCAAGTTGCTAAGATTTGGAAGTTTTGTCAGTTATTTAATATTTCATGGTTTTATTTTTGCGTATGTTTTACGTTGCTATATTTTTTGTTGATGTCTTTAGTTTTAGGTCTACAATAATGATTGACAATTCTGCTAGATATTATGTCGATGGAAGGATCTTTATGATCAGTAATTGGTGTCCCGTTTAGTGGTTAACGATTCGTATTGTTCTTCTTGAGATGATCGTCTCTGATTCTAGTTGTATGGTTGAATGATTGATAGTGCTAGTTGATTAAGTATAATTGTTGTCGGTGTTAGTCTGGTTGAATTTGTTGTAACGATCCAATTCCTTACAAAATTAATACGCAGTATAAAACGGTTTGTTTTGATAATCACAAAAAAGTTTTAGGCTCTATTTTTACTTTCAATTTCAATTTCATTCCAAACGGAAAATAAGGTAGGAAAGTTCTCTTTGTTCTTCTGCCAGCGAAGAGGTTCCAACGCACCGCCCCGGACTCCGAAAGAGCTTCCAAGAATTGGGGCACAAGAATCTTCCGGAAGCCAAGTCAATCAAAACATACCCACTCAATTAACCTTTTGGTCTAGAAGATTCTTGTGCCGTGTTTATCTATCTCAATTCGATCGGGAATGTTGAATTGACTATTTATTCGTTACACTCGATTTTATAGCGTCCTTTCCAATTTCGCTTTCACGAGGGATTCTCCTTCCAGATAAGGATCTTTCTAATTGAGAGTACTGAAGATTGTTTGATTTGAGATTTCTTTAATTTGAGGTGCTCTTGGAGCTGTTGTTATGGATGCCTGTGAGATTGTTCGTTGCATTAATTGGCGGGGAGATTAGGGTTTTGAGAGCTTCATAAAAAGTCCTTGCATCTGTTTGATGTATCTGGTTATAATCAAAGAGGGTGATAGGTTTGTGAACCAACGGTCATTGATTTCGCCGGGTGTTCTCAGGCCATTGGATTTGAAGTTGGAGCAGAAAGTGTTTCGGGGTTGGATCTCAATACACAAGTGGAACAAGGAGTTCTATATACTGCCCGGAGGATAATTGGGTCAACCCAGACCTGTTGGGTTTGCATAATACTCCGTAATAATTTTACCTGAAGATGGAGTCAACCCAAGATTCAACTTTGTCAACTAATGTAGCGGGTTTGGTAGAAGGGACTTCTTCTAGTGGAAGAGTGGTTTATTATATTGATTCTCTACCCATATATGCTAAGGAGTTAATTGCCGGAGGTGCTGCTGGTGCGTTCGCTAAAACTTCTGTTGCGCCCTTGGAACGTGTTAAAATACTTCTTCAGGTAAAGAAAAATTTGAGCATCCAAGCGCGGAAGGACCTGTTTTTCTAATTTGATTCTTGAATTTTTCTAGTTGTTTTTGTTTTACTTTCCATCTATATATGTATGGCTTAATGCTTGCTTGATGCTGGTTCCACTTGAGTTTGTATCATCTTGTTGGCCTTTGTGATTGGCTTATTTCAACCCTCTTATGGTGTGTGATTATGAGCTGTTAGACCCTACTTGGGTCCGTTCGAGTAGTGGACCCTTGCTTATATAACTGTTCTTGAGTTCTAACCAAAACTTTGCCTCTTCTTGGAAAGATTACGCATGTTTTCCTTTCTACATCTAATACTTCTCTTTGGTGTTCATGTAACCTAATTTGGTTACTCATAATTTGTTTGGATAAGGGCAGCAAGATGTACTGAAATAGGGGAGAAAACAAAATGAGTGATTTTTTATTCTTATTTCTTAAGTTGTTCTGATGAAGAGAAGTAGGAGATAAAGAGAAGTTCATTTTTTCTACGAATACATATATATATATATATATATATATATATATATATATATATATATATATCCTTGATATTGATTTTTTTTTTTTGCAGTGGATCCTACTAGAAACTTTTTCTCATCCGCTTACTTTTCTTGCATCAAAGAAAAAATTAAAATTATTTTATCCCCATTTCTTTTTTCCCCAAATTCATGATAAACTAAGGCTTACTAATTGTGTGTCTATTCATATTAACAGACAAGAACAGAAGGATACCGGTCCCTCGGAGTCTCCCAATCCCTTAAAAAGCTATGGAAGCAAGAAAGTTTTATGGGATTTTACAAGTAAGTTTAATTTTGATCAAGTACACATTTTTGAGATGTTTTTCATAATAAAATGACACACTTGCATAACATATTTGTGACATGGAATTTCAGGGGAAACGGAGCAAGTGTTCTTCGGATTGTTCCATATGCTGCCTTGCATTTTATGACATACGAGCGGTACCGAAGTTGGATATTGGACAACTATTCGGTATTAGGAACGGGGCCCATTGTGGACCTCTTGGCTGGTTCGGTAGCAGGAGGGACTGCAGTGTTATGTACTTATCCCTTGGATTTGGCTCGCACTAAATTGGCTTACCAGGTAAACTATACGTTATTCTGCCCTTTTTAATATTTGATCTGAGGAACTCTAATGGGGAATTGACACTCCTTATATGAGCTTCTATAATTAGCACTTTAAATTTCATGGTATCAGCCCCAACTAGTTAGGATTAAGGTGATGCTGATAATAAAGTAAGAGCTTTTGCCTCAAGTGCGGATACATTATTATTTTAGGAAATACGAAGTAGTAGTATGTATTTGATTTTTATCCTTGTTAACAAAGACACATCATATGCATTGTTTGAAATATGCTGTCTCTTAAAGAAGTGAGAAAAGCATAGCTCCCAACGAGACACAGCAAAATTTGTATAATGGTGTGAGCAATACTCCCTATGCCCCACACATATAGTCCTTTTACCATATATAGTACTACGTAATATAGTATGCCTAACTAATATATTTATATATCTTGGTTCTACCGCACATGAACTATGTAACTGATACAAATAGTGAGAATCAGGATTTATGTTCTAACTATATAATAACTATTAGACATTTTACTGCATGTTTATAGCTTTTCTTGACTATGCTGCTTTATTTCACTTTACCTTGCATTGGGATTCTTTTGTGCTGTGTGTATGGTTTTACATGGGTAATGCGCTAATGTGCTATTCAATTTATTCTTCTTATTACTTTTTTTGTTCTCCAATTTTAGATTGTGGACAGAAGTGTAGACAATGAAATGAGAGGTCCTCGTACTCAACCTGCTGCGTA